TATACATATATACATATATATATATATATATATATATATATATATTAGTGCTGTCAATCGATAAAAAAAATTAACTAATTAATCGCACCATTTTTAAAAAACTTAATCGCGATTAATCGCATTTAAAATACTAAAACTTATCATTTTGGCTATTCAAATGTAAAATTTATGTAAACGCAAGACAAAAACTATTTAAATTCAAAATATAATTGTTTTATTAGAATTAAATTCAAAATATAATGGTTTCATAGAATTTTTGTTTAACTTGTAACACAGATTTCTTCATGTAAACAACATACCCACAATAAACCATCAAGATCCTGGCTTGACAGCCATATTTATTACAGAAATTAAAACACAGGAATGTTAATGACATTTAAATTTCAAAACAATCAATGCCAATAAAGAAAACATTGGTTTCCATGTTGGATTTTAAGTGGACTGCAAAAAAATGCCAAAATACAGGCATTGCAGATATGAAAAATGAAAAATTATAATAATAAACTATAGAATACAAACTGTTGCACTCATTGTAAAGTTTTATTGCTGTGAGTTGAGAACATTAATTATAGAGTAGAAACAATTTAGCTTAATCCTCCTTTACATTCATCCAGTTGCTAAGACTAGGAGTATCCCGCAAGTGCACAGAGACTCCCAAATGCCCGCAAATGAATGATAATTTCTCGCAAACCGGTCGTTAAATACATTGCACACCCCTCTCGCCCCTACTCAGAAAGTCGCTCTCTCCACCCCTGACACCCCTCAACGGGCCTGACACAGACACACACACAGACAGACACACACACAACGCGCTGCAGACGTTTTGGCCCCAACGGCCTTCCATACTGGAGCGACTCCCCTCAGATTCAACACACATGATCACGTTCATCAAATTTGCTTAAACTAAGCGTCCTAAAGTATTACTGTATTTCAAAAGGATTCTGACACAACAACGCAAAGCATACGCTTTCATTGCGTTTAATGAGGAAACACGCTAAACTTGGAGGGCTCATGCTGAAAGGCAGAGTAATGCCCTGTCTCTGACAGCTCGCGACTTCACCAGACGTACTGAGTACATTTACGTAAGACACCAATACTCCGATTTTAATATGATTAAGATAATACTCTTAAAATTCTACTGTGTAGCCTTAAAAGGAACCTTACCTTAAAGGAACATCGAGTCACGAAATGCGGAGGATTTTCTTTCTGTTCGCCATGCGGTATCAACTTACAACAGAAGTCGAAAGTTAAAAATGAAACACCCGAAATTGCATGAAATTCTGGATAACCTGTGATGTACCTAATGGTTTTATACTGGAACTTGCCTTCAAAAAGTACTTCCTTGGTCTTATCCACATTTATTGCATGTTGAACACACGTCCACCACAACAGGAAGTAAAAAATACCTGCAACTGCGTTAATTGCGTAAAAATTTTTTTAACGCGTTAATTATTTAAAATTTATCGCATGCTTTAACGCGTTAATTTTGACAGCGCTAATATATATATATATATATATATATATATATATATATATATATATATATATATATACACACACACACACACACACACACACATATATATATATATATTTAATTCCCTGAGAGGCTAGTCATTAGGCACGCTCACTTCTATTTGCGTCATCAATCTGGTAACTTGTATGTGCACATGTCATCATTAGGGTGAAAAAAAACGATGGGTCACGATGCAATACATATTAATAAATATTGTGATATATTGCAATAGTTTGTATTAGTATGTGCGTTGTTATATTGACAACTTGATAAAGTCAGCACATCAATTAAAATTCCGATTCCGAATTTATTTTCTATCCATTTCAATTCATTAGAACTGCACAGTGTTATCGAACAGAGCACTCACTGAACTGTATATAATGTATATAGTTATTAAATCCTTAACTAAAATGTATATGCCACTAAAGTCACATATAAATAAAATAAACAATTTATAAAACTAAAGCAAGTAAATAAAATTTAAATGCATCAAGTAAACATAAAACTGGAACACAGTGCTCTAATATGCGGTACACTATTAGAAAATGTGTGTTTGTGATCAGGATACCTGTTGGCGAGCGCTGGACTTGAACGTATGATCGTAGAGTGATGTCCGTGGATCCGCCAGACTCCAGCGGGATCGGGTGCGTATGGAAATGCCGTAACATATCGGCGACCGTCTGGAACCACAGGTGATGAACGTGACACTGTCCACTGTCGTTCACAGACAGCCGTAGGTGCTGACAAAAACACAAGAACACACACACTGATATTCAATATACCTTGATAATGAACATGCACAAGATGGAGCCTTTCCACAAGACTGTTATGACGGTTTAACGGTCATCAGCATCTGAAATGCTTCAAAGTTTTTATTAATTAGATTTATTTTTAAATATATGCACGTTTATATGCATTTTAAGAGTTCACACTTAGCTGATGATTAATAATAAAGCTAGTTTGGCGTGCTGTCCCGGGAGAGAGTCCTGAGCTTATAAGATCTTCGAGCCCTGGGTTCCCTCCCGTTGCAAGGCGAGAGGGGAGTTTGAGCTCAGGTAGATCTCAATGACTCCCCCTCCTGCTTATTGTAGCTAAGTGTCCGATATGGATGCTAAAGGTGTACTCAGAGTTTGGCTAAAATATTTTGGATTAATTGTTTAGAGTGAACTGTGGGAGGAAACCGGAGGACTTGGGGAAAACTCACGCGATCACGGGGAGAACGAGCAAAACTCCGCACAGAAATGCCGTCTGGTTTGGAAAGGAATTAAACCAGGGGCATTCTTGCTGTGAGGCAACAGCGCTAATCACTGGCCACCGTGACGCCTGTTTGAAAGGAGGGAAAGTAGGGTTGAGTGGGGGGTTTCTTCGAGACGAAGATATTGAGATGAGAAAAGTCTGGTTATTTATGTTGAGTTAAGGATCGTCTGATAGGATAATCAGTTATTAGCTAAATTTGGAACAGCTGTAAACAATCATAAGCACGTGATCCTCTCGAAATTTGTTTATAAATAAACTTCACTTATGTGTGTTGTATCATCTTTGCATCAAATTACAAACAACAAATTGCCGCTTGTGTGAGGCGTTTCTAATGCAGTGTCTATAGCCCCTTTCACACATACAGACCTTTCTGGAAAATTGCCGGCAATTTTCCGGAAAGGTTGTGTGTGTGAACAGGTCCTTTTTGAAAATACCGGTAAATTCGTTCTGGCTATTTTCCGGAAAGAGAAGTTGCATTTACGTCCGCGCGGTTTGTGAGGATAAAAGCCTTTGAATATTTTTCCAGACACATTTAGCTGCTAGAAGTTAGTCAGATCACGTTTATATGTTCTTCTTAATGCCAACTGTGTAAATAATCATCGATGAGATGCTTATGATAAGCCGTTGTTTGTTTACCTTCAAGCTTTGCGTGTGCCTGTGAAACAGCCTGTGAGCGCCTGCACACGCACATATTATGAACATCTCGACATGCGAAAGTGATCCTGCGAAAGTTGTTCACAATATTGATCATCCACAGAGTTTGTAATTTAGTCAAATGTTTACAAACACAAGCGCAGCCGTTTAAAGCTCATTTGTGGTGAATGATGTCAGAATTTACCGGTATTTTGGAATGGATGTGTGAATGCTCTTTTCCGTAAAATTTCCGTAACGTCCTCGCCTGTGTGAACAGCGCTTTTTTGAATATCCCGGTAAAGTCGTTCCGGAAATTTTCCAGATATTTACCGGTATCACTGTGTGAAAGGGGCTTATGGCAGCTGGACACAGCTCACCTTTGCTTTGCCCTGGAAGTTGAAGGTAAGGACGTATTCTCCAGGACGGGTCTCACTCTGGCGGATCACAAAGAGGCCGTGACTACGAGCACCCCCGGCCAGAACCAGTTGGGCTGCTCGTACCCGCGACAGCGTCCCATGGAACCATGGGTAACCTGACAGACTAGCATCTCCTTCCCCTTCCCTTGGCGTTTCACCTGGACTTCCTGAAAGACAAGAGCCATATGGGAAATTAACATGTTTCCTGCAGGATAAGAACCCCAATGTAATATTAGTGAATACATTAACTAAAGAAACCTTATTGTAAAGTGTGACTGAAATAAAACATGTGCTGGAATAGTTGGCGGTTCATTCCGCTGTGGTGACCTCTGAAATACAGACTAAGCCAAAGGAAAATGAATGAAAACATCACCACAAGTTTCTTACAATGAAGTTTTGCAACCCAAATGAAGCATGAATCACTTAAATTCCATTAAGATTTTTTTGTTATGAAATAAACTTACGCTTCGCCAGATCCTCTCATCCTCTCAGTTACCACTGTTCCGATAACTCGGGAACCTGTTTTAGTCTGAGTCAAAGGAGGTATCAAAGTAATCTGTGGATAAGAGCTTACTTGAGACACGAATTGCTTCAAATGATTCAGTTCAATTTGGTGAACTGGTTCAACCGATTCCCTTAGAAGATCCAGTTAAAGAGAACGATTCGTTCGCGATCGGCCATCACTACTGAATATTTCCTTGAGTTCATTTCATAAACAACCCTTCCACGGTCATTACAAACAGTCTAGAATGTGTTTTACAGAAAGAGGACTCGAGTGGCTGATCTGAGAGCAGCATTACTGCAGTGTGTACCTGATGCTGTGTTCGTGTTCTGGGCCTCTGGGGACTGCAGGAACCGCTCCAGCGGGACGTGTGAGGGATGCTGGGTCACTGGCGGCTCCTGGCAGCGGGCAGCGGATGACTGATCACCGGCAGCAGAGCCTCGGTGTGAGCCTGAATACCACAGACAGAATAGAGGTGGAAATCACAGGTTAACTCATGATATGATGCTTTTGCACTGCTTTATTTCGGACACCGTGAGAATCAGCTTCTCTCCTGTGGTGCGCGTTAAAACTGAAAATGATGTGCGACTCATGTGACTGTCTGAATGTCGTGTGCACGGCAAATACGGCTTAAGTGTGTGATGCAGATGTTCTGTTCCTGTCATACCGTCGCACAGCAGCTCGCAGCTACAGGAGGACACCAGCGAGAAGTCTTTGGGCGGCTGACTGTGAGCACAGGAGGCCAGCTCGATGTCGTCTCCACTGTCCCTGAAAACACAAGAAGATCTGCCGTTTGTCCAACAGATCTGCAATGTCATTTATATTTTAAGACATTTACTCGATGCCCTGGACTAAAGGTTTCTGGTAGATTCACATATGCGCTTGACCCAACCGAAGGATGAAAAAGAAGTCAGCACATCGGCCTCTGTAAAGGAATCTGTTATATAACGCAGCAGTTAGAGAGCAGTTACACTCAACAAGCGGAGGATGAGTAAATGATGACAGAATGTTCAGTTTTGGGTGAACCGTCCCTTTAAATGCTTGTGGCTGGTAGTAGACATATTGATTTAGCTTATAATAAATAAGATATACTGTGGAAGTATTTTGTCTTTACATACTGTTCATGACAATTTTATAAATAAAAAATAAATAAATAAATAAATAAATGAAAATAAATAAATAAATAAATAAAACAAATAAATAAATAACCATATAAATGAATGAAAAGAAATAAATAAATAAACAAATAAATAAAACAGACAAATAAATAAATAAATGAAAATAAATAAATAAATATATAAATAAATAAATAAACCAAATAAATAAATAAATAACCAAATAAAAATAAATAAATGAAAATAAATAAATATATAAATAAATAAATAAACCAAATAAATAAATAACCAAATAAATAAATAACCAAATAAATAAATAAAAATAAATAAAACAAATAAATAAATAACCATATAAATGAATAAAAATAAATAAATAAATAAACAAATAAATAAAACAAATAAATAAATAAAAATAAATAAATAAATAAACCAAATAAATAAATAAATAAATAACCAAATAAATAAAAATAAATAAATAAATAAATAAATGAAAATAAATATATAAATAAATAAATAAACCAAATAAATAAATAACCAAATAAATAAATAAATAAAAATAAAAAAGAAAGAAAGAAAGAAAGAAAGAAAGAAAGAAAGAAAGAAAGAAAGAAAGAAAGAAAGACATTTAATTGAGCAGTAAGTGACGGTGTTTACCCGGGGTCTATGCAGTCCTGGATATCCGCAACCCAGGAGTTCTTCTGCAGAGAGTCGATGGTCTCCAGAATGTATTCAGCACCATTTTCTACCTGCAATAAATGACACAAAACCACAAGTCAAAATGATTGAAACCACAAGTCAAAACTATCTTTTTACAGAGACTTTTTTTATAGACATAATCATTTTATTAAGTAATTCTTCTATCTTTGCCATGATGATGGTGCGTGATATTTCACTAGTTAGCTTGCAATACTAGTACTGAGCTTAAAGTGCAATTGAAAGGCTTAATTAGGTTTATTAGGCAAGTCATTGGACAACATTGGTTTGTTCTGTAGCCAATCACAAGAACAATTCTGAAAGGGGCTTATGATGTTTACCTTAAAAATGGTTTACAGAAAATTTAAAACTGCTTTTTTTCCAGCCAATCTAAAACCAAATATGACTTTATCCAGAGGAAAAATTATTATAGGAAATACTGTGAACAATTCCTGAATCTGTTAAAAGTTATTTAGGAAATTTTTGAAAAACAATAATAATTTTAAGGCTGATAATTTTGCCTTCAGGGATGACACGGTGGCTCAGTGGTTAGCACTGTGGCCTCACAGCAAGAAGGTCGCCGGTTTGAGTCCCGCCTGGGTCAGTTGGCATTTCTGCATGGAGTTTGCATGTTCTCCCCGTGTTGGCATGGGTTTCCTCCGGGTGCTCCAGTTTCCCTCCAAACACATGCGCTATAGGGGAATTAAACAAACTAAACTGTCTGTAGTGTATGAGTGAGTGTGTGAATGCGAGAGTGTATGGGTGTTTCCCAGTACTGGGTTGTGGCCGGAAGGGCATCCGCTTAGTAAAACATATGCTGGAATAGCTGGCGGTTCATTCGGCTGTGGTGTCCCCTGATACAGATCCAACACCATCATCAAATTTGCAGATGACGCCACAGTGATTGGTCTAATCAGCAATAATGATTGAGTGGAGATACAGCATTTGGCCACTTGGTGCACCGACAATAATCTGCTCCGTAACACCAACAAGACCAAGGAGCTCATTGTGGACTTCAGAAAGGGACGAACAGGCTCACATGATCCCATCCACATCAATGGGATGGCGGTGAGCCTGTCTCATCCTTCAAGTTCCTGGGGACCCACATGTTAAAGGACCTTTCCCAGACCACCAACACCTCCAGCCTGGTCAAGAATGCTCACCAGCGCCTATTCTTCTAAAGGCAACTTAAGAAGACCCAGCTTTCATCAGCCGTCTTGCTGAACTTCTACCGCTGCCCAATAGAGAGCATCCAGACCAACTGCGTCACAGTCTGGTATGGAAGCTGCTCTGTTGCTGAGCGTAAGGCACTGCAGCGGGTGGTGAAAACTGCCCAGCGCATCACAGGGAGCACACTGCCAGCCACAGAGGACATCCAGAAGAAACACAGTCTTCGCCGAGCACGCAGTATTCTTAAGGACACCTCTCACCCTGCTCACTTCCGGCAGGCGCTTCAGGCTCCCCCGGACAAAAACCAGCAGACTGAGGAGAGAGTTGTCACCCTCTTGAACTCTGCCCCTCACGGACTCTTTTGACCTTAGACCTAAACTGCATTTCGTTGCCTTGTCAGGGCTCGACAATAAGGACTGCCCGATGGCCCGGGGCCAGCGTGCGAGACACTCAGGCCAGTGTACAGAATGTTACTGGCCCGATCGGGCCAGTGCTGCCTTTTTGCCTGCCAGATCGAGCCAGAGCTGCGTGCTGCGACTGTCTGTCAATTGTGTGCAAATACAATGTTACGGTGCTTTCACACATAGACGTTTGTTTCGGAATCTGTCTCGTTTCCCCCGTTAGCGTGGTTTTTTGGCATATATCCAGCAGTTGCGCTCAGCCCTCGCATGCGCGCCCGCGCCCGCATCTGTGCCAAATCAACCAGTCCGAGATCGCCTGAATGAGACGGTCTCTGCCCTATTGAGCGGATCGATTGTAGCGAGAAAACAAAACAATGCAACGAACTAACGACCCAGGCTATATCACAGTGTATTATGATTGTGTAATAGCCATATATACGGCTATATGACGAGAGAATGATGAGCAGGGCGAGATGTCATTCTTACCGGTAAATGCGAAAGTGAAAGCATGCTGAAATATTACCGAGAGCTGTTTATCCAGCCTGATCTTGGTTTATCCGTTAGGAAAATTGACCGAAGTTAATATCTGATCATTTTTCCATATTTTAATCATTTAATATGTTGTATTAGGCCTGTTGTTTTGTTCATTTTTGCACTGACAGCTCGAAAGAAAATCAACATTGATCTGCTTCGCGATCTGATGCAGTCTCGGTTCATCTGCTAAGTCTCTCTATAATTTAAGCCTAAAATACAGAATTATAGTCAACGTTTCTTTAATAGATCTTTCTTTAAACCTGCAATTGAAATGAGGCTCTGTATGAGAAAGTCTGACCTCGATTTGTATTTGGTGACGATGTCTGTGTGTTGTTAAAATTAAAGTGCACATTTTCACAAAATATTCTAAACACAACTGGTCAAAAGTTTTGGGTCAGTATGATTAAATATGTTAAAACAAGCTTCTTCTGCTCACCAAGGCTGCAATTATTTAATCATAAATACAAATTGTGAAATGTTGCACTATAAAACTGTTCAAAAGTAGTTTATCATTTAATTTATTCATTTATTCCAGTGATTTTAAAGAAGAAATTTCAGCTTCATTACTCCAGTCACACGATCCTTCAGAAATCACTAATATTAATTAGTATTATATTTATTAATGGTAATAGTAATAAAAGCAATAATGTCTGGAGTAATGATTTTATTTGAAACTACATAAAATAACAAAGCAGTTATTTAAAATTTTGATAAATATTTAACAATTAAACATTTTTTACGTTTATAAATATAGCCTTGAAGAACTGAATAATTTTCCATAAAAAACATTTTAAAAATTACCGTAAATATATTTACAGAGTTATTAGCCATAGAAATTGGGGAAAAAATAAACAGGGGGGCTAATAATTTAGGGGGACTAATAATTCTGAAATCAACTGTGTGCCCACACACACACACACACACACACACACACACACACACACACGCACAGTCAAATAGCTATTAACTTCTTTTTTTTTTTGGTGGGGCCAGTGAAAATTTTGGCAGGGCAAGTAAAAATCAGAACCACTGGCCCGATCGGGCCAGTAGAAAAAATCCTTAGCGTTGAACCCTGCTTGTACTTGTATATGTGTAATGACAATAAAGTTGAACCTAATCTAAAAGTCTAATCTAAATAAGCGACTAAGCCAAAGGAAAATGAATGAAACGGACTGTGAAACTGTACCTTGAGCACAAATGTGTTGTCTTTGTCGGGCATCTCAAGGGGCATAGTGGTTCTCACCTCCACGATGGCAGACAGAGGGACGCTTACTTTGGGTTTTGATGACTACAAACACAAATCAAACAAACATTAATGCAACTGAAATAAGCACACACTGTAAGACAGGCAGCTCGGTGAGCGCTGTGTAATGTAAAAATACTCAACCATACAAGATTTAAAGGGCACCTATTATGCAGAAAAATTGTTTAAACAGTGGTGTGGCAGCAGTGTGTGAATATAACCAGCTTCTAATGGTAAAAGTGTATTCATTTTATTTTTTATAATCAGACTTGATAAAAACACAAACACTTTGATTGACATTCTCCCTTTGTGCGTGTCATCAGAGGGGGAAAGCCCCGCCCACTAGTGATCGTCTCCCCCTCATTAGCATAAGACATCAGTCTTGTTATTGAAAATGCCACTATGCTGACACACAGGCATCTGCAGCTCCGCCCTCTTCTAAAAAGAGCACGATCTCATTTGAATTTAAAGCGACAGTCACCAAAACGCCACAATTAGCATCAAAGCTTAAAAGGGTCAGTTTCAGAGAGTTAGGCCCCGTTTACACTGATGCGTTTTAGTTTTATTTTTGACATTAACAACTAAACAGACAACAGAAATGTTGAGGCGTCTTGCAGCATATATGAGCGTCATCTTCACTGTGTGCCTCTTCATAACAAAACAGAGCCTATATAACATCACTGCCTCCTTTAATTTTCATTGAAAATACGAAACACCCTCTCTTTTCCTGAATATCAGTTTAAATAATCAATTAAGGCTATTATGAAAGCATAACGCACAATAAATTTATACATTATAGCAAATAAAGGCAAGCTATCAGTCAATATACAGAATGTACGTGGTTACATTAATTATTGACTTTGCGCTCAGCCAAAATACGGTACCTGAGAACAAGTAATAGATTCAAAAGACCAAAGTCAGGGAATATGCCGTTAGAAATAGACAACAAGATGAACTAGATTAATAAAGTTCGTCGAGACAACCTTTAGGCTGGCTTGAGAAAGTACGTTTAAGTTAAAAGTAGCTTAACGTTTTAAAAATAATTTTTACGCTTGATGTTGTTAACATGATTCTAGCACAAATTAGCATGTTGTTAGCATAATTTCAGTATGAATTGGCGTGTATTTAACATGATTCTAGCATGAATTAGCATGTTATTAGCATGATTCTAGCAAGAATTGGCATGTTATTAGCATAATTCTGGCAAGAATTAGCATCCCTGCTGAAAAATCCAGCTTAAACCAGCCTAGGCTGGTTGGCTGGATTTAGCTGGTCGACTAGCCTGGTTTTAGAGGGATTTTGGCCACTTCCAGGCTGGTTTCCAGCCATTTCCAGCCTGGTCTTAGCTGGTCAGGCTGGGAGATGACCAGCTAAAACCAGCTTGACCAGCCTAGCCAAGCTGGGAGTCCAGCCAATACCAGCTATACCAACCAACTGATTTGGCTGGTAATTTTCCAGCCTGACCAGCTAAGACCAGGCTGTAAATGGCTGGAAACCAGCCTGGAAGTGGCCAAAACCCCTCTAAAACCAGCCTGGTCGACCAGCTAAAACCAGCCAACCAGCCTTGGCTGGTTTAAGCTGGATTTTTCAGCACGGATGTTATTAGCATGAATCTATTATGGATTAGCGTGCAATTAGCATCATTCTAGCATGAACTAGCATGTTATTGGCATGATTCTAGCAAGAATTAGCATGTTATTAGCATGATTCTATTATGGATTAGCGTGTTATTAGCATGATTCTAGCATAAATTAGCATGTTAATAGCATGATTTAAGCATGAATTAGCATGTTATTATCATGATTCTAGCATGAATTAACATGTTATTATCATAGCTGCGTCCCAAATCGCATACTTATGCACTATTTTACACCATTTTGTAGTGTAAACAGTGTAAGCAGCGCGTTCACACTGAAAACTCTAAAAATAATAAGTGCACTTTAATTACCCGGATGATGCACTCATTCAGCCGGTAAAATATAGTGTGTAATGATGGACACTTCACGCACTCAACGACCGCAGGTTTGCTTACGTAGCGGAAGGGGCGGAGCTATCGGACGCACATGTTGGATAACTTTATTTATTTTGGATGGTGAAAGCAAAATTCTCCTACGAGAGTGATTATAGCGCCTCCCGATGGTGAATGCGGTTATACTCATGTCAGGTTTTATTTGATAATTCGGTCATTTATTTCACTGATTTGGCGACCGTCAAACGTCATCAGGGAAACGGTTTTAATTTCCGCTTAGTAAAAAAACATTAGTGCTCCATTTGAGACGACACCAAATACATATACTGTCCTGTTGAGTGTGTTAGTGCATAAGTACATAGTGCATGAGTGCATAGTGTGCCATTTGGGACGCAGCTATTCTGTCACGTGATGAACAAATGACTCAAGAACGAGAAGACTCTAAAGGTGAACTAATTTTCATGACTCCTATCGGCTCAGTACATTGGTTAAGATTATATGTGACTGTCAGTGTAACGTGAACGAACCACTGACATTTGAAGACATGAAGAGGTGAGCTGAGCAAAGAGACAACAATATCTTCATAGACAAAAGAGCAGGTCAACATTGAAGTATTATTTTCTCTCCTTATAGTATTCTATTGATGACTTATTTGTCGTGTGATCAGCCTTTTGGGCTAGTTGTAGATGTGTTTGGAAGCAATTCGAAACATTTTAATAATATTTTGGCATATTGAACCAAATGAACGAAATGACTCGAAAAAAGATTCGTTCATCTTGATGAACGAGACTCAAAGATCCGAGTCAGTAAAATGATCTGAAATTCCCATCACTAATTATGATGTGATGTGAAACAGGTGATGTCAACAGGTGATTGTAATTATGCCCTATTCACACGGGGCGTCAGCGTCAACGCTTCACATTCACTTTGAATGGGTGACGTCAGGCGTTGCCGAACTGCATTGTGCAGTCGGCGCCGCTTCAGAGGCGTTGCTCGCTGCAGAAGTTGGAACTAGCTCAACTTTTCAAGCGCCGACGGATTCAAAGTGAATGTGAAGCGTTGACGCTGGCGCCCCGTGTGAATGTGACGTAATTACAATCACCTGTTTCACATCACATCATTATTAGCGTCAGCCAATGACATCGCTGTATGCAAATACACCAGCTGGACAGTGGCCTATTGCTGACTGAATTTCATTGGCTGATGCTTCTATGACGATCGCGTCAGCCCCAACTTCATATACGCCTTCAGTCAAGCGTTGACGTTGAAGCCCCGTGTGAATGAGGCGTTATGATTTGGAGCAAATGCCGCATCCAAGAAAGGTCTAGTCCTTCAGGAGCAAAGATGGGTCGAGGATCACCAGTTTGCCAAAAAATAGGCAGTTTTCTTCAGATGATCTTCTTTGGTGTTCAACAGAAGAAAGAAACTCAAAGGTTTAAAGGATGGCAGAATGTTTTATTGTTGCGTGAACCCTGCCTTTAATCGAATGTTTTTCCTGCTTGCTATTACACATGAGACAGATGAACCAGACGACTGTTATGCTTTCCTCATTAAAAAGCAGGCCGACCCTGATCCCCTGATCCGGCCTCTTAAAATCCTGCTTCTACGTTTCAGCTTTGAGATTTTTGGGAAGTCGATCTCAGAGATCTCAATTTTAGTCCCTCAAGGCAGTACTAATAACTTCCTCTTCCTGAACAAACTAAAGACGGGGTAAAAATAGAAAAGGAATGAGTGTCTCTGCTAACACACAGCAAAAGATCTGCGATAGCGATGAGTCCTGTATTTCTTTATGTATACAGTTCAGAATTATTCGCCCTCCTGTGAATTTTGTTTTCTTTTTTAAACATTTCCCAAATTGTGTTGAACAGAGCAAATTTTCACAGTATTTCCTATAATATTTTTTCTTCTGGAGAAAGTCTTGTTTTATTTCGGCTAGGTTTTTATTTATATAAAACCGTTTTAATGTCAATATTATTAGCCCCCTTAAGCAATATTTGTTTACAGAACAAACCACGGTTAAACAATAATTACCTAATTACCCTAACCTGCCCAATTAACCTAGTTAAGCCTTAAAATGTCACTTTGAGCTGAATACTAGTGTCCTGAAAAATATCTAGTCAAATATTATGTGCTGTCATCATAGCAAAGATAAAATAAATCAGTGATTAGAAACAAGTTATTAAAACTATTATGTTTAGAAATGTGCTGAAATGTGCACTGATAAACAATCAATCAACACTAGATTATGCCTCATCCAGTTCGAGGTCTTACATAGGCTACATTTCTCCAAAAAGAAATAACATAGGATTTTCCCCAACATATCTCCCATTTAGTGCAAATCAGAAGAAGCTGATTTAGCTCATAGTTTTGTATTCTGTCATAAAGTACAGGGATTCTGGAATGAGGTCTTTAAAGTGCTTTCAGATGTTCTTGACCAACATATAGATCCTGACCCAATGCTTATTATATTAGCACATTCTGATTATACATATTCATTGAGCAGTCCACAACAGAAATTCCGTGCATATTGTTTGATTACAGCCAAAAAGCTGCTATTATTGTATTGGGAAAATGTTAATCCTCCAACTGCCAAACTATGGCTTGAAGAATTGACATCTACTCTGCACCTGGAACGAACCAGATTTATTTTTAAAGGCAACATTGGACAATTTCAGAAAATTTGGGGCCCTTTCTTTTGTTACTTCATGGGGAATTCTTCCCCCCAAAGCAATGTATTGTAACTAAAAGTTGTTTTGATTATCACTGTAGTGTATACTTACAGGCTGGGCTTGGGGTGTTTGTTTGTTTTTTTTTTGGTAAATGTATGCATATCAGAATACTAATCCTGGAATCTGTGATTATTGTAAGTTTATTCAACGACCAAATAAAACTTATTTGACAAAAAAAGAAATGTGCTGAAAAATCTCTCTGTTAAATAGAAACTGGGAAAAATAATCCAGGAGGGCAAATAATTCTACTTCAACTGTACTTGCAGATGGAACCTAATAAAACGTGTAATGATGACTGTACATCAGGTGCTGAACGTGACACATAGAGAGAGATTAATGTCATAAATCAGTTTGATGATGTCTGTAGTTTCAGGCTGTACAGATCGTAGAAAACCTCTGTCATCAGTTTCGCTGTGATGCTTTCCGAACAACATCCTCTTTCTTTAAAGTCATACACTGAAAAAAATTATTCAGAAATGATTCCTTGGATTTACTTAATTTATTTACGTTAAGTAGCTGTAAACAATTTATTTGGGCTGAATTTAAACTAACAAATTAAGTAGAATTTAATTATATTTAATATGTTTAAATAAATAGTTTGCAACAGTTTGGCATACATCATTTTTTTTCAATGTACCAGCTGATGTACTATTCCCAAATAAAAACGTAACTCATAGCTGAACTACCAACTACGCAGGGGTGCAACTGCACATTTACTGAAGGTAATGCGGGTTCAAGTTTTGCGGCGTTATGTTACGGGCAAACTTTTTTGTAACTAAAATTAAAATAGTTTTGAGCAAAAAGTTACCAAAAGGCCTAATGTATTAATATGATACATAATAAATTTATAAAAACATGTATATGGAATGAAAAATGGATCTTGATAGAAGGACTAATAAACATTTCAGTTCCAAAAAATGTAAATATCCTGATTATTTGTTCATGTGTCAGTTTTAACAGGGTTAAGAATCATAATAATCAAGTATATTAAAATTATATAGGGGATTTTTTTAAATCCAAATATTATTTTTTTTTTTATCTGAAATATATTGAGGTGTGTGATCCCTCTTATATTGGTAGAGTTATTAATTAATTAAATTATTAATAATAAATAGTGTATAATTGGTAATAAATGTATAATTAATTGATAATTGATAATAGCGTATAATTAATATTAAATGTTAAAAAGTAAATAACATTTTTTCAGATTATTCTTATGACTTTTGAATCTCTTATTTTCCAATTTGTGCAACGCAGTGGCGGAATAGGTAGGGCTGTCACCTCACAGCAAGAAGGTCGCTGGTTCAAGCCTCGGCGGTTCATTCCGCTGTGGCGACCCCAGATTAATAAAGAGACTAAGCTGAAAAGATAATGAATGAATGAATGAGATACTTTTTTTGTGATCCACATCTCTTCATTTTCTCCTTTTTGAACATGTGATGTTAACAAGCAGCGGATAAATCAAATGGTCAGCGGAGGGGGGAGGAGCGGTATATTTTTATATTTAATAAAATGCAATATTATTCTCGTATAAAATGCAAAATAATAATTTTTAACAAAACATATTTATTTATTTGTATTATTCAAAATAATAAGGAAATATTAATATAAAAAAAAAGTTTTGGCACAATAGCGCCCCCCACGTATGTGACGCCCCTATGCGCCGCATATACTGCATACCCACTTTTTGCGCCCCTGCAACTACGATGCATCTTTAGGGAAATGAACAATGAGTTGACGAGTGTTTCCCAAAACCATACTTAGGTATATATTTAGATTACATTTTATGTATAATTGTATTTATTGGACGAGGCAGTGGCGCAGTAGGTAGTGCTGTCGCCTCACAGCAAGAAGGTTGCTAGGTCGCTGGTTCGAACCTCGGCTCAGTTGGCATTTCTGTGTGGAGTTTGCATGTTCTCCCTGCCTTCGCGTGGGTTTCCTCCGGGTGCTCCGGTTTCCCCCACAGTCCAAAGACATGCGATACAGGTGAATTGGGTTGGCTAAATTGTCCATAGTGTATGAGTGTTTGTGTGTGAATGTGTGTGTGGATGTTTCCCAGAGATGGGTTGCGGCTGGAAGGGCATCCGCTGCGTAAAAACTTGCTGGATAAGTTGGCGGTTCATTCCGCTGTGGCGACCCCGGATTAATAAAGGGACTAAGCCGACAAGAAAATGAATGAATGAATTGTATTTATTGTAAATTCTGTCTTAAAACTCTACTTTTTGTATTAACATTATATGTTAGGCACCTAGGGTCTGAGAGTAACGTAATTTCGATTCTCTATATGTCCTGTACATGTGGTTGAACTGACAATAAAGCTGACTTTGACTTTGATAATTTTTTATCAAATACCTTAACCTTCTACTATGGTGATCAGCCAACGGGGTAAGCAAAATAATGTTACTTCAAAGTGGAAACAAGTTTGTTTTGCGAACCCCATGGCAGATTATTCAGCTTGCTAAGGTTAAAAGCATGTCCACGGACTTGGTGAAAATAAAAATGTGAACAAACAATACTACAAAAACAGTTACAGCTGGCCCAGGCGATATGACAAAGGTGTATTTTCTTTGTTGATTCACATTGAGATCTCACAGATTTACCACATATGTAGTGCTCAATTACCTTTGGAGGCACGTAGAACTCAAGCTGAAACTTCTCTCCCGGCTCCACGTACGCCGTGGTCTTCCTCAACAGAAGCCTGCACTTTTGCCACTGTGCTGCCCCCATACAGTTAGTGTCATCGGCCACCATATACCTGAGCGCGCCCTCCCTCTGGATCTCCAGCAGCTCCGTTTTGTGTCCCTGCGTGCCCCGGGGCAGCCGCAGCTTCTGGCTCCAGTGTTCGGACCCCATAGATTCAGCTCCGTTGGTCCTCCTGGAGCTCCCCGAAGGGTCGGGTTCTGGAGACGCCCTGCGGTGCCAGATCTCCTTCACTCCATCCACTACACTCAGACTCATGTTTCGAAGGGAAAATCCCTTCTTGAAGCGTGTCTTTCTGCGGCCCAATGAGACGTCCTCAGAGCTTCTTGACTGGCTGACGGTGGCCATCTTTCGGGTTGGTGTCTGCTGCTCCTGTCCGCCAGCTCCGCTGTCCATGCTGTCCAGAGATTCGCTGGACGCCCCGACGTCTTTCCGGCGGTGGTACAGATCGTGGCTGAAGGGAAGGGTGCAGCTCTGAATGCCCACAAAGGGCACGATGCTGTATTTAGGGGCCGACGTGTGCCCTGGAGAGCCGGGATCTTGAAGCTGGTCAAGAGCGGCAGAGAAGCAGGTTAAAAAGTGTTGTGCAAAATGTTGTGAAAAGCTGACATCAGCGCCCGGGGAGTCGTAGCATGGGTTCTCAGTGATGAATCGGCGAAACTTGTATGCAAAGTCGGCTGCGGAGGCTCGGGCGTGAAGCTCGCAGAACTCCTTCCAGTCGGGCAGCGTGCAGGACGAGTGTTCAGGGCTGCTGGGAGCCCCGGCGCCATTCATTACTGGGCCATGCCAATGCCCTGGTAAACCACTAACAGACAGAGAGAGAGAGACTGTGAATTAGTCAGGGAGTGTGTAGATGTCAGTAGGTCTCAATTTAATGTATCTGTGGTTTGGTGTATTGCAACACACTTGGTACATGTTGCTAATGACGCTTTAAAAAATTCTGGGTTATCATAACCCAATGCTGGGTCAAATAATGACAAACCCAAATGCTGGATTAAAAAGTGTCATTTAAAAGTAAATGAAACAAATATACCAATGGGTTTGTCCATATTTGACTCAACGTTGGGTTACAACCAAGCAAATCCTTTTTTGTCTGGCTCGACTATGATAGCAGGTTTGGCATGCAGTCCTAGGAGAGAACCCTGAGCTCGGAGATGGATGAGCCCAAGGTTCCTGCCTGGTCAATGAGCATTAAGGCTGATTTATACTTCTGCGTCAAACACCGACGTATGCTACGGCGCTGACGCATAGCCCTTCGCCGTGGCCGTCGCTGACGTGCAGCTCTCAAAAGATGTAACTACACGTCGCAACGACGCGTAGCGTAAGCTCTGTGATTGGTCGGCTTGGTAGCGCTGACGAGTCTGGGCGGGACCGAGAGCCGCGTAAATGGTGCGAGCCTGACGGAGCGATTGTTTACAAGTCTGGAGTCCCGTGAAGGAGCTCCGGATGGAAAGTTTTGCTTTGTGTTTACCTCATAGTTAAAGTTGTTGCACGTCCGCCGGTTCCTGCCTCAAAATGAGCGAGTTTGAGCCACTTGTACATCCCGGAAGTGTTCAAGAAAAGCAAAAAAGCAGCGAAGAAACCCGACACAGAGGAACATTTACACCTCACTGCCAACTAGCTTTTCGGAAGTGTTAATGCAGACCAACAGAGACAGCGTGCAGAAGTATAAATGCACAGCCACGCGCGTTGCATGCTCCGTGGGTTACGCCGGTCACCTGACGCAGAAGTATAAACCAGGCTTTAGGAGGGATACCTGTTTCTCGAGTGCCCCTGTTTATACTTTCGCTAATATGGTGTTTCTGACTGATTCAGTAGTTATGCGTTACGTGTTGTGGCCAGTGGCGTAGCGGACGGGCCTGCAGGGCATGCATGATTAGGGGCCCCGCGTGATTAGGGGGCCCCACGTCGTCGCCATTTTCAATAATTGAAAATCCGGCAACCGCAATAATCAAACGCTTGTGAACAACTGTGGAAGAAACCAAAGTTCACAGGTCTGTGTTCTCTGAACTCCTCTCAAGCGGTGGACTACTTCATTCTGATTGGTTGCCGCCGAACCGCGTCACAGCTCATACCATAAAGTTGACTTGATTTCTACTCTCCTCGACGCCCACACAGGAGAAGACACGGCCTGCTGTTCCTCGCCGCCGGTTCTCATTAAAAATGAATGACTTCTGGCTACTTTGGTGCTCTCGTCGCTTTCGGTTTGTGATCGCTCCTCAGTTTGTGAAGGCTTCCCAACGTTGTCGCTCCACCCTGCCTCCCTTCCCTGCGCCTCAATTTTTGATCGCTTCCCCGCGTTGCCCCCCCCGTCTTCCGCATTTTGCGCTACGCCACTGGTTGTGACTATAATTACAATTCGCTTATGTACATGTTTTTAGACTGTGGGAGGAAACCGGAGGACCCGTTGAAAATCCAAGCGAACACAAGGAGAACATGCAAACTCTGTGCAGGGAGTGCTGACTGGCTCGATTAGAACTTGAACCTGTGGCCCTCCTGCTGCGAGTACTGAGCCGCCATGTCGCCCAATCATGCAAACAGGAGGAGGGAGAAGGGAAGGATAGGGGGGGGGGGGTCCGAAAACAAAGATATGGAATGAAGTTTAGGCAGGATATTTATAGTAGTTTTAGAAAGATCTGATAGGTTAGCTAATGATTAGTGATAACGATCAGCTGTAGTCGATCATATCAGGTGCTCCTCTCGAAATTTGTTCGTGAAACTTCATCTAATTACATTGCTGGGAATGTCTGACACCAGCGCATACATCTTGTAAGAGACGTGCCGGGCACGAAAGCTTGACAGGCGTAACAACAGTAACTAAGGAGGGGGGGCTTAGCGAAGGGTCAATTTTGTTATCTTTTAGTAAAAATTACGAAAGCTTGACAGGCGTAACAACAGTAACTAAGGAGTGCGGGGCTTGGCGAAGGGACAATTGTTTTATCTTTGACTAATATGTAAATAAGTTAGACAACATGAAACTTTCAGCCTAAAAAAAACTGAAATCAGTAAGGGGTCAAATACTTTTTCACACCACTTGAGCGAAGAACAGCAGACCATAAACTGCATTTACGGCTATGTACTTTTCTGACACTGGCACACAGCAGCACTTTCTTTCCAGTAAACAGTAGATTTATTTTCCAATCATAATGCAGAGAATGACACCGACTGCAGGGACACACAGGCCAGCATCTGTCTGAAAAGAGCAGCCATTCACAGACATAAACACAAGCGTAGTACACAAGATCAGTGTATTACACATTAATAAAGCACAATACGCTGCCCGCTATAAATACTGTTTGGCACTCTTGGGAAATATGAGCAATGAAGGCGTTGGGGAATGTTTATCTTTTAATTCTTTTATTCAAAACCAGAAAAATCTAATTGAATGCTGTTTCCCCGAAAAAACAAACAAATAAAATAGTTGCAAAAAACATGCAAAACATTCATTCATTTTCTTGTCGGCTTAGTCCCTTTATTAATCGGGGGTCGCCACAACGGAATGAACCGCCAACTTATCCAGCAAGTTTTTACGCAGCGGATGCCCTTCCAGCCGCAACCCATCTCTAGGAAACATCCACACACACATTCACACACACTCATACACTACGGACAATTTCGCCTACCCAATTCACCTGTACCGCATGTCTTTGGACTGTGGGGGAAACCAGAGCACCCGGAGGAAACCCACGCGAAGGCAGGGAGAACATGCAAACTCCACACAGAAACACCAACTGAGCCGAGGCTCGACCCAGCGACCTTCTTGCTGTGAGGCGACAGCACTACCTACTGCGCCACTGCCTCGCCCGCAAAACATGGACTAGTTTGCAAAAGTAGGTTTCGGACAAAGCTAGATGTAGTGGAAAAACTGTGTGTCATAGAGAAAATCGAAGTGACTTCACTTTTGTTCAGACTGACCCAAGAATCCCAAATATGTGAAGTTTTGGAGTGGAAACGGTGTACGAATGTGGGATAAAATACTAAAATTTGTTTGTTTTTAGTGATGTAGCGCCACCTACGGGCCGATTTAGATGAGTCTTTGAATCTGAATGTTTAAAGCCTCTAGGCCTTACGGTTTGGCCTGGAAAACAGCAATTATGGCAGAAGTAAAATAATAATAATAATAATAATAAAAATTGGCGACGGAGCGGCGCAGTAAGTAGTGCTGTCGCCTCACAGCAAGAAGGTCGCTGGGTCACTGGTTCGAGCCTCTGCTCAGTTGGCGTTTTTGTGTGGAGTTTGCATGTTCTCCCTGCCTTCGCGTGGATTTCCTCCGGGTGCTCCGGTTTCCCCCACAGTCCAAAGACATGCGGTACAGGTGAATTGGGTAGGCTAAATTGTCCATAGTGTATGTGTGTGTGCATGAGTGTGTGGATGTTTACCAGAGATGGGTTGCGACTGGAAGGCTATCCGCTGCGTGATATGTGCTGGATAAGTTGTCGGTTCATTCCGCTGTGGCGACCCTGGATTAATAACGGGACTAAGCCGAAGAGAAAACGAATGAATGAATGACAGGAGATTGTGAAACCGATTGTGACCGAAAATCATCCACCCGCACAGTTGAGTCCTGAACGGGCTCAAACAAAAATATAATTTGCATATTTTTCTTGGAAAAAAAATATCCTTTGAAAACAAAATTCACAAATAGTTTGTCTCTTTGTTTAAATGTTTTTCTTGGTCAGTTATCTTCTAGTTAAAATAGATGAACGAATGCTTCAAAACAAATCCGCGAGGCTTCAACAATGCCGAATCACGGACTGGATTGTCAAATAAAATAATATGCCTAAATAAAAATAAAGTGAAATATTCAGTTTCAGAGAAGCCTATATTAAACTGGGTCAATTACAACTGAATTCATTTCATCAAATAATTTGAATAAGCAGGACAGCCGTTTACAATATTCCCAACACCACTGAACATGTTCCCATATTACCTCGGTGGAACGTAAGGTGTCTGGCACTCTTGGAAACTATGAGCAATCAAGGCGAATGTTTATCTTTTGATTCTTTCATTCAAAACCAGAAAAATCAAATTAAATAAAATCACTTATATTATGCAAACGCATCATGGAAACACATTTGGGTGAATAAAACAATTAATTATTAAGAAATGGTTAGCACAGCGGCTCAGTGGTTAGCACTGTCGCCTCACAGCAAGAAGGTCGCTGGTTCGAGTCACGGCTGGGTCAGTTGGCATTTCTGTGTGGAGTTTGCATGTTCTCCCCGTGTTGGCGTGGGTTTCCTCCAAGTGCTCCGGTTTCCCCCACAGTACAAACACATGCGCTATAGGGGAACTGAATAAGCTAAAATTGGCTGTAGTGTGTGTGTGTGAGTGTGTATAGGTGTTTCCCAGTACTGGGTTGCTGTTGGAAGGGCTTCCGCTGTGTAACACATATGCTGGAATAGTTGGCGGTTCATTCCGCTGTGGTGACCACTAATGAATCAAGGAACTAGGCCGAGGGAAAATGAATGAATAAATGAGCAGAATTTTACCCTAGTTATTACATTGTCCACCAGCCTCAATCAGTCCCCCGACTGTCAGTTCATTATTTTTAAATATAGAGAGGTTATTTTTTATACATTTAGAGATTGCATTAGGATAAAAATTTAAGCAACAGTGATATAAGACGATAGATAAATAAACAAACAAACAAATGTGTGCATATTACAGTAGAACTATTGGACCCCCTGGCTGGAATTGCTTAGGGCCCCAAAATCACTTAATCCACCCCTACACACACACACAGCTATATAACTTATATTTCTATAATCTATAATCTTTTACTTCTTATTTTACTCCATAATATAGATTCTTATTGATGATATTTTATTTTTTTCTTAAGGTCACGGGCGGTTGTATAAGAATGTCACTGTATATCGCACTGTTTATGAGTGTATGTGACAAATAAAGTCAAAATTTAAAAAATAAATTGAATTTGAACATACAAACACACATAAACACTATTAAATAAAATATTAATATCAACAACTAATTCATTATTTGTAGGTTTTCTGGTCATGAATGCTGCTGTCAATCTCTGTGAATGAAGCCGGTGCACGAGGCCTGAATCAATAACACACAGACACACGCACGCGCACACACACACACCGTTATATCAATACAAAACATCGTGCATATGACCAGCACTGGACCAGCGACTGTGACCCATTTAACGACTCATCCCTCAGTCAAACACACGCGCGGGCTAATCTGAACATTAACAAACACAACAGAGAAGCCTAATCATGAATGAGAGGCCGTTCATTCAGGACGCGTTATTCTCCTGCGCGCGTATTTAAACGCGTCCTGCAAACGCGCGGCCCCCCAACATTCACACGCGCTCATTGATTCCCACCTCCGGTAAATGCGACACTGCGTCCGAATCCGCTGCTGTTATTCCCGGTGCGTCGACGGCGGTTTGCGGAGGAGTGCGGAGCATCGCATTGCTGTATGATCCATAAGCGAACAGCAGCACAGAAAGACTGATGATACATGACGCGCGCGCAGCATCTATTCTCCAGGCAATGCAGCTGCTCTTAAAGGGGACGCGACGCGTTTTTTTGATTGGTCCCTAAGTGGGCCACGTCATGAAGTCATTGGTCATCATGGAGTGAAGGTGATTCAGAGCATCATCCCAATATAGACCACACAAGAGAAGTTACCAATACTTTATATCCAAAGTTGCATATGTTTTACAAAGTGGATGCCTTTTCAAGCTGCAACCCAGTACTTGGGAAACACCCATAAATACACTACGGACAATTTAGTTCAATTTACCTACAGCGCATGTGTTTGGACTGGGGGGAAACAGGAGGAAACCCATGCCAACATGGGAAGAGCTCCACACAGAAATGACCCAGCTGAGGCTCAAACCAACAACCTTCTTGCTGCGAGGCCACAGAGATAACCATTGAACCACCGTGCCACACAGAAAATACAATATTCATTAAAAAACGTGTATATGAAACACTGAGTAACTTCTTGGGGGTGAAAAATAGTGCACCAGATCATTATGTGAAGAAATATAAAAGTATGATGATCTCAAAGCTTTTTTTAGGTAATTTTGTATTTCCGTTGAACAAATTACTGTACGGTTTTGTCACATGTTGGTGATTGTAGTCTGGGTTATTGACAGGGCAAGACGGAATCAGCGGATGTTTTTTGCTATTTCTGCAGATAATTTTGGTAAAAATCTGCGGATTTCTGCAGAATTTTGGGATCCAGCGGAGTATCATAACTAAAACCATAATATACAGCCTGATCTCACAAGAAAACGTAAGTATCTTACGTTTTGGCAGTTTAGTGGCTAATTCGTATGAATTCGTACGAGTTCAGTCGTAAGAAAATGTACGATTTTAAAAAGGAGGCGTGGCACCTAACCCCACCCCTAAACCCAACCCTCATTGGGGGATGAGCAAATCGTACTAAAATGTACGAATTAGATTATACGAATTTGTACGAATTAGCCACTAAATGAAAAAGTTACGAATTGCCGTGAGATTGTGTTGTAATATATGAAATAACAAGTAATAAATTACTGACTAAAAACTTAATTAATTCAGATTTACACATTTACTCAAGTAAATAAACAGAATTAATAATGGGCTAAAAATCTGCGGAATTCTGTGCACGCAGATTCCGTGTGGGCCTAGTTATTGATTATAATGTAAACAGGGCTTGACATTAACACCCGCCAAATGCGGGTAGATTTCAGCGGTGGCGGGTAAGACAGACACTCCCACTCAGGCCCGTGCACAGACCCTTAAGATTGATTTATACTTCTGCGTCAAACGCCGGCGTATGCTACGGCGCTCACACATAGCCCTTCGCCGTGGCTGTCGGCGTGGCTGACGTGCACCTCTCAAAAAATGTAACTACACGTCGCAAAGACGCGTAGCGCAAGCTCTGTGATTGGTCGGCTTGGTAGCGCTGACGAGTCTGGGCGGGACCGAGAGCCGCGTGAATGGTGCGAGCCTGATGGAGCGATTGTTTACAAGTGTGGAGTCCCGTGAAGGAGCTCCGGATGGAAAGTTTTGTTTTGTGTTTACCTCATAGTTAAAGTTGTTGCACGTCCGCCGGTTCCTACCTCAAAATGAGCGAGTTTGAGCCACTTGTACATCCAGGAAGTGTTCAGGAAAAGCAAAAAAGCAGCGAAGAAACTCGACACAGAGGAACATTTACACCTCACTGCCAACTAGCGTTTCGGAAGTGTTAATGCAGACCAACAGAGACAGCGCGCAGAAATATAAATGCACAGCCACGCGCGTTGCATGCGCCGTGAGTTACGCCGGTCACTTGACGCAGAAGTATAAATTAGGCTTTAAGGCTGATTTATACTCCTGCGTCAAACGCCGGCGTATGCTACGGCGCTGACGCATAGCCCTTCGCCGTGGCTGACGTGCACCTCTCAAAAAATGTAACTACACGTCGCAACGACGCATAGCGCAAGCTCTGTGATTGGTCGGCTTGGTAGCGCTGATGAGTCTGGGCGGGACCGAGAGCCGCATGAATGGTGCGAGCCTGATGGAGCGATTGTTTACAAGTGTGGAGTCCCGTGAAGGAGCTCCGGATGGAAAGTTTTATTTTGTGTTTACCTCATAGTTAAAGTTGTTGCACGTCCGCCGGTTCCTGCCTCATAATGAGCGAGTTTAAATCTACTTGTACATTCAGGAAGTGTTCAGGAAAAGCAAAAAAGCAGCGAAGAATCTCGACACAGAGGAACATTTACACCTCACCGCCAACTAGCGTTTCGGAAGTGTTAATGCAGACCAGCAGAGACAGCGCGCAGAAATATAAATGCACAGCTACGCGCGTTGCATGCGCCGTGGGTTACGCCGGTCACTTGACGCAGAAGTATAAACCAGGCTTTACAGGGGCAGGTGTTCAACGCGATCGTAAAGTGAAGAGCGGGGGGTGCAATCGCAAAGTGAAGAGCGAATGAGAGGATAATCACTCACGCTAACAGCTGAGGTGATGCGTGCTCCTGTTTCCTTGCGTGAAGCAACTGTGTCTAGAAGCACAACTGGTGTGATCGGTTCTCTTTCAAATAGACTAGACAAAAAAAAGTGATGAACATGCATCCACAGTCCTGCTGCTTTCAAGAGCTCCAGATTTGTCTTTTTGTAAGCAGCACCGGTTGCTTTCGCTTTGACCATTCTTAATCTGAACATAAAAATAGAAATAATCTGAACAGATTATTTATGGGTCTAACGTTAACCGTGCGTGTGTGATCATCCGTTCATTATGTTTTTTACCTGCTTTCTTTTGCGTTAATATGGTTTGATTATTATTTTTTACAATAGCATTGCTTTAATAGGAGATTGACTCCCCATTCATGTGTAGTTAGTTGCTGATCTGGGACCTTTAGCCAGGACGGATTACTGTGCACATGTTTTGTTAAATAAAAAGTATAGTATGCTGCTATATTTTGCTTGTTTTGACACGTTTAAAATTTCTGTCTCAGAAATAATTAATTGTTTATGTTTGGTGTGGTCAGAGATAAATAGGGTAAATCCTTCATTTTGAGCTCTGGAAATTATGTCAAATAAAAACTAATTGTTATACTATGAAATGATTATTGAGCTCATACACGACACACAAAAAGTGAAACGAATGAGGAGGCTTGTGGAGACAACGCAAAATCTAAAATAAGTGATTTTAGCATGTCAAAGTCAAATTTATGTGTATAAAATTATTTTCCCCACAATAAAATTGTGGCTAGTGAAAATGGCGAGTGGCTACTAACGCTGGAAAACTACTAGCCACAGTGGCTGGTGATCAAATAAAAGTTAACGTCAAGCCCTGAATGTAAACGATGGATATTGAGCACTTCGTTGAGTCTCAGTGGAGATATAATGGCTCTAAAACTGGAAAACCATTTAGTGTAGAGTTACTCCATGAATTACAGTCTAATCTGCTCCATTACTACAGTTTATTTACAGACGCAACTCATAAACTGAGAATACATGATTGATTGGATTTACTACTTCTTAAGTGGTTGCAAACTGAATTTAAACAAACAAATGAAGTTGAACATCACTTAATTTCATTCTCTTTTCGGCTTAGTCCCTTTATTAATCAGGGGTTGCCACTGCGGAATGAACCGCCAACTTATCCAACATATGTCTTACGCAGCGGATGCCCTTCCAGCTGCAATCCGACACTGGGAAACACCCATACACTCATGCATTCACACACTCATACACTACGGACAATTTAGCCTACCCAAAATCACCTGCACCGCATGTCTTTGGACTGTGGGGGAAACCAACGAGAACATGCAAACTCCACACAGAAACGCCAACTGGTCCGGCCGGGACTCGAACCAGTGACCTTCTTGCAGTGAGGTGATCTTGCTACCCACTGCACCACCATGACTCTCTGGAATCCTTGATTCTGATTGGTCAGTCAATTGCAGATAACAACAGCTGATGACTTAATTTGGTTAATGCTATATATTGCTTTTCATGGTCTTTTTACACATTTTAGGACCAGATCGAGTCCCGATTTGGGAAAATTAGAATTTTATTGTTTGTGTCTGAAAACTGCTGTTGAATTTATTTATTTTTTTAAATATTTCCCGAATGATGTTTAACAGATTCAGGAAATTTTCACAGTATTTCCTATAATATTTTTTCTTATTATTTGTTTTTTTTCGGCTAGAATAAAAGCAGTTTTTAATATTTAAAGCCATTTTAAGCTCAATATTATTTGGCCCCTTAAAAAAAGCTGTATTTGTTTTGGATTGTCTCCAGAACAAACCACTGTTATACAATGACTTGCCTAATTAACCTAACTTTACTTTAATTAACCTAAGTAAGCCTTTAAATGTCTCTTTAAGCTGTATAGAAGTGTCTTGAAGAATATCTAGTCTAATATTATTTACCGTCATCATGGCAAAGAGAAACTAAATCAGTAATTAGACATGAGTTATTAAAACTATTATGATTATTAATGTGTTTAAAAAAAATCTGCTCTCCATTAAACAGAAAATGGAGGAAAAATATACAGGGGGGGGGGGGCGAATAATTCTGACTTCAACTGTATGTATCTCAGATTAAACATGCGAGCAGCTTCAGTCAGACAGATAATCTGCAGCAGCAGTGAAGATCAGAGTCTCTCGCATCACATCAGACACTCTGATTGGCTGCGTCTGATCACATGGTTTGACAGCTCCCACAGATGATGTCACAGGAAATCAGGCATGAAGATGAGCTGCTGCTGCAGCTTGAGGGTTATTTAATTTATTGAGTGCATCTAATATAACATAAACAATAGAGATATTTTATTTTGATAAGACAATTATGGATAAAAGTCAAAGTTTTTGTGGTAAATCTTTTAATTTAATTAGGTAAGTTTTACACTACATACACAAATGTTAAGGGATAGACAGGACGCCTAATGTCTCCCGTTTTACGGCTGCTTTAAAGATTTATTTTTATTTATTAAGACAGTCGAAAAGCAAACAGAACTATGAACATAAACTATTGTAGACATGACTGTATGCCCTTTGTGTTTTTATTTCTTTATTCTGTCTCATTTTAAGTTGTATTCTTGTTATTTTCTTCAGTTATGAGGTGGAATCTTAACTGCAAGAGTTTTGTTATGGGTTTGATTGTT